AGAAACCTCTTTGAACAGACCCTGTGTGTGCTTGGGCGGGAAGGGTGCACAGGGCAAAGGGTGGGCGGTGGCAGGCCTGTTCTCGCAGTGAGCAGTTCTGTGAGCCGTGCCACGCAAATCGCTTGCCACGCGGAGGCCTCTGCAGTCCCCCGCACACACGGCAGCTCTGATTTCTTCCTCTTTTCTGCTTCCAACCAACGGCGCTTTGGCTCTTGAGCTGGAGAGACTTGCAACGTCATGGAAAATCAATTCATTACTGAGAACAGCAGATACAAGCCATGTACAAATACATGCATCAGTGAAATTTTAAACATATTTGGCAGCTTTCACACTTACATCACCCCATCTACCTTCAAGTATCACCAACAAGGACGCGCATTCCTAAAGACTGTATCAACGCCTGTGACAATGCTCTCGACTGTATCTGACTGACAGTGGCATTATTACTTTTGTACTTACTTTAAGAAATCTTAAAACACGTAACCTGCTACCTTCCCTCCCTAGGACAGTCACAAAGGTCATATTCTGCCAATGCTAATTTAAAGTGGATTCACTAATTCTTGTATGTGTCAAAATACCGTAATGCCGTAAGAAATCCATGTCAGATGTCCTGCTGCAGCTGTGATCGGATGGTGACACTGATGCTGGTGTTTTCGTGGACTTTGCCATCTAAACTGCATGTTTTACACTCCTCTGGTCTGAAAATTTGGTGAACTGGGAAATAGGCCCTTGCATGTTGTTTTCTGGGATGCTGACAGGTAATTTTTTTTTTTGTCATAAATACTTCTAATTTTTCTACAGTTTTTGAAGTGAGAAAGGAAATATATTCTTCTAGACTTTTTGCTAAACCTGTAGGCACTTCTTATGTTAATCCAATCAGCCTGAATCACACAGTTAATAGGTTTTCGCAAATACTTTCTTTCCAGGCAATCTAATGTTTCATAATCATGACTTTCAGTAACTTTTCACTGCTGAGATGACATGACTTTTCTTTGGAGGACTAATTTGTGCAGCTGTATTAATAGTTTAGTGCCCTCACCAGCCATTCTGGGGAAATGCTGAATCACATGTATAGCGCAGCAGGTGGGATCCGTCCAGTCCTATCTAGACCTCTGCAATGTAGAAGTCTACATCTAATATAGGCTCCCTTCATACACGGGAAGAATTAAGCATCTTCAGAGCGTGAGTCATGTCATCCTAAAGTAGATGCCTAGAATAGGTCACATGATTTGCGCCCTAAAATTGCTCCTGTTTCTCTGCATTAAAGACCAAGTAGTTTAGATCGCAGTGTCTCCATCATAGCAGCCTGAAGTGAGGTGAGATGGATTAATGCTCTTATCACAGATCGGTTTGTATCATGCTACAAAGTACCATAAATATTTGTAAAGAAAACTGAAAGTAGAATTACTTTTTATATTATTCTCAATTTATAAAAAAGCAACTTTTAAAAGTTTGCCGACTCAAGACATTTTAGTAAAAATGGCAAATGCTAGGTGTTTCACGGAAAAGCCATAGCACCTCTCTTTTTAATAACATAAGACTTCCAGTTCTCCATGTGCAAGGTTGGTAAATAAATTTGTTAGATAAGTTGTAGGTCCAGAATAGGATCCTGTGCTTTTGATGAAAATACACAATCTGGGGGAATGAAAAAACCACAAACCCAAACATTTCCTAGTGGCAGGCTGATTTTTTTTTTTACATGACACTCAAAAATTGGTATGTGAGAAGTTTATGTAAAGCTGAACTGATTGGCGGAGTACAGGTGAAACTTTTTTTTTTTTTAAAAAAAAGTCTGCCAGAGGTGTCACATTAGTGTGGTACCTGTGAGGAGAACGTGTGCCAGGAACTGCTTAAGAAATGCAGGATGCTTCTGGCCAGCTCTGCTCGCAGGAGTTAAAATCCTGCATAAAGATGATGAGTAAGCTCTTGATGACTCACTGTGGCAGATGCAGTCTTTAATTCCAAGAGGGTATAAGGGAAGTGGGTGTGAATCTCGAGTAGAGGGGAGCTAGGGGTAGGGATGTTCCTGCCTCAGTCGCTTGGGGATAAAAGTGTAGGTTTTTAATACAGTCCCAGCTATCGGTAAAGCCAGACTTCTGTAAGGGGTAAGTTTGACATTACACATCACAGATAGATCTTATGTGAAGCAGGGAACACCACCTACTCACAGATGGGTATAATTTTGGGGATGTCCTGCATAATTCATGTGTGGCTTTGATACTTATGAGTAATTCAGACATCAAAGCCTCAACTTAGATAACACTTTTATAACACTAAACTTCCTATAGCAAACAATCTGTGGGCTTTCATTTAAATGCCTTTTAAAAAAAAAGCAACCCTAACAATACTTTCTTCTTTACCTTCAGAAATTTTTCATAAAGTGTGCTGGTATGAAGTCCAAGATGGAAAATACTGAAGCCTGGGCTAGAGAAAAAAATTTAAATTCCATGTAATACTCTTCACTGGGACTAGAAATGTAAATTTTAAAGCACTGGAAAGGAGCTGGGAGCCTCTATCCCAATTTTTTCTAGACTGAGAACACACCAGATACCAGGCCCTAAAGTCACTCTGTAATATTCGCTCTGCTTTGCCAGTGGCACAAACCTTCACTTTTCAGCAGTCCAATTTCCTAGCAAGCAATTTTATGTTCTCTTCCAAGTTAGCCATTACGCATGGAAAAACCCTCCCATTAATAACCATAAAGCTCCTTTATTGTTCTCCTTCAAATCTCCTTAAAACTTCCTTCTGACACCAAACACTTGTCATTGGCCAGGCCTGTTGCTTTTTATTCTCAAGGCTGCTTTTCCCTTATCCTTCCCCCCAAGGGTCTGTGGTATACACCTGTTGTCTTTCATCATGGGTTAAGATCATAAGCTCCTTGGGCAGAGACCATCTCTCTTATTACATGTGCCTGCAGTATCCCCGACACAGCGGGACCGTGAGCCCTGCGCGGGGCCTCTGGGTACCGCCGTGATCCAGTTGATAAAGAATAATGATTTTTGACACGGTGAGTTCTGCAGTTTTTCCCCAAGTCATTCTGCAGTTGTTCATGCTGATACAACCAGTGTGCGTGTGTGAGCAGTGTCCTTAAACCCGATACACGGACTAAATGCTGTGGAACCATTTGCCGGGAGAGCGCTGACTTCCCTGCTCCGGGGTCGGGGGGGCTCGTCTGCTCTTGCACATCAAAATGCGTGGACTGACACACAGCAACTGTTTCTTTTTGTGGGTTCGTACTCAACTGGCGTGATGGGACCCTGCTCTGGAGCGTCTGCGTCCTGTCCTGCAAACAGGAATAAAGACCGATGGAGTCAAATGAGAGGGAGCTGGCTCACGCGCTGCTGGTGTGGAGTCTGTCGGTCCCGTGAAGGTCCTTGGGGATTCAGGACACAGCCTTTCCCTGCTGCAGTTTCCCCGCTAGACGTGGAAACTAGAAGTCTCCTTCCCTCCTCTCAAGTGTTAACTCAGGATGGCGAGTGGAGGGATGCAGAGAGGCTGCGCCAGTCAGAGCCGGGCTGCTGGCTTTTGTGGTGGGGAAGGCAAGGAGAGCCGCCCCCTCCACCGCATGCCCACCGAGCAGGGCGACGTGCAGGGAGTCGATTATTTTTAATGAATCACCTTGCAAAATTCTCCTTCTCCACAGCTCTGTTTGCAGCCTGCGCCCGTGACCTTCCTGGGCCCCGCCGCCTCAGCCAGGCGCATCATCATTCACACCGTGCCATCTCTCCCCGCAACCCCCAAGATATTACATTTCTTCTTTTTTTCTCCCTGTCTACCCCCCCCCCCCAAAAAAAAAAAAAAACACT